AAGACTTACTAAATATGCTATGTCGGGTCTAATACATACCATAACATACATCAAAGAACCTACTATGTTAGCATATGGAATGCCATTCATATAAGTTCTTTCAATATCAATGTTAGGACACTGATCTATACTCAGCTTGAATTGAGGGTTTGTCGGAGTCACAACAGGCTTTGAATTCGACATACCAAACTTTTTGAGAACCTTCTGTAGGTATGCCTCTTGAGATAAGCATAATTTCGACCACTTTCTATCTTTCCGGATGTCAATCCCAAGAATCCTGGACGCAGCTCCCAGATCCTTCATGTCGAACTCTTTATTGAGTTCAACCTTCACCCTCATTACCTCTTATATATTGTTGCTTGCTGTTAGAATATCATCCACATAGAGCAACAAAATAACAAATGAATTACCCGGTCGAAATCTGAAGTAAACACAATGGTCGAACTGACTTCTGATGAAACTTATGTGTGCCATGAACTTGTGGAATCTCCTATTCCACTGTCGAGGAGATTGTTTCAGTCCATATAAAGATCTATTCAGTTTGCACACATAATCTTCCTTCCCCCTTTCGACATACCCTTCAGGTTGCCTCATTAGGATTGTTTCATCTTGATCACCATACAAAAGCGCAATATTCACATCCACCTGTTCCAGTTCAAGGTCGAACTGGGCCACCATGGCAAGCAACATTCGAATGGATCTGTGCTTCACAACAGGAGAGAAGACATCATTGAAGTCGATACCTACTTTCTGAGTGAACCCCCTAGAAACCAATCTTTCCTTGTATCTCTTCGATGTCACTCCTTCGATTCCTTCCTTAACTTTGAAAATCCATTTACACCTGACTAACCCGGATCCAGTAGGTTTCTTGATCAGTTCGCATGTGTTGTTATCATGAAGAGATTTCATCTCATCATTCATGGTCTTCATCCATTCAGTATTTGTTTGACTCCTTATAACTTCCTTATAGTCTCTAGGTTCTTCGTCTAGAACCTCACTTGTAGAGATTAAGGCATAAGCTATAAGATCTGCATACCTAAGTCTCCGAGGTGGCTTGATGACTCTCCTCAACCTATCTCTTGCTAGCAGGTAGTCATTATCAGTCTCCTCATCTTCAACAACATCTTCTGCGTCTTCTTTGACTTTATTTTCGGTACGCAATTCAGCATCAACATGCTCCACCTCAACATGAATCTCTCAATGTTCTAGTTCTTCGTCAGCATCATCAGTTTTCTTGAATGTCGTCTCTGCTTCATTGAAAACTACATCTCGACTGGTGACACACCTTCTGTGACCTGGCTCTATGCACCATAACCTATAAGCTTTGACTCCTTCAGGGTATCCCATGAACATGCATTTCAGATCTCTAGGTTCGACCTTGTCTTGTCTAATATGAGCATAGGCCACACAACCAAATACTCCCAGTCTGTCGAGACTAGGTGGATTTCCCGACCAAACTTCTTCAGGTGTCTTCATTCCCAAAGCAGTCGAGGGACATCTATTTATCAGGTAAACTGCTGTCGAAACAGCTTTCTTCCAAAACACCTTCTTCAATCCAGCACTAACCAACATGCATTTAACCCTTTCAAAGATTGTTCGATTGAATCTCTCATCTAAGCCATGTTATTGAGGAGTACCTGCTACCGTCTTATGCCTTGCAATCCCAGACTCAACACAGTAACTGTTGAACGCTTCGTTGCAGAATTCAAGGCCATTGTCAGTTCTCAACCTCTTAACCTTTCTGTCAGTTTGAGTTTCGACCAGAATCTTCCAACTTTTGAAATTCTCAAAAGTTTCATCCTTCGTCTTCTGAATGAATACCCAAAGCTTTCTCGAATAGTCATCAACGATGGATAGAAAATACCTTGCACCTGAGTGTGAAAGATTTATTGCAGGCCCCTAAAGATTAGCATGAATGTAATCAAGGGATTCATGTGTTATTTGCTTGCCTTTGTTAAACTTTGCCCTACAGGATTTACCAAATACACAAGATTCACAAAATTCTGACTTTTCGAAATTGTCACCTCCTAGCAGGTTCTGCTTCCCCAACTCAACCAGGCATCTTTCGCTGACATGGCCCAATCTCATGTGCCATAATTCTGTCTTCGATATAGGTTTCGTGGATGCAACATTTGCCGAGCCACTTACAACCTCACCCTCAAAGGTATACAAGCCTTGTTTCTTCACGCCTCTCAAGACTTTCTTTGACCCCTTCACGACTCTTAGGATACTTTTCTCTCCTTGAAAAACGTATCCTTTTCTGTCGAATTCACCAAGAGAAATCAAATTTCTCTTCAAGTCAGGTACGTACCTGACTTCAGTCAATAACTTTATTGGCTCATCATGGAGCTTAAATCTCACATATCCAATACCTGCAATTTTGCAAGATTTGTTGTTTCCTAGCAGCACAGATCGACCATCTTGATCACATAGCTACTCGAACAATTCTTTGTTTGGAGTCATGTGCCAAGTGCAACCTGAATCCATAATTCACTCTTTTCTCGAGTCGCCACTTGAAATCACAAGAACATCAGATGAGTCGAAGTCATCTTGAACAATGGCTGCATTGTCATTACCTCCATGATCTTTCAGGCGTTCAGGGCACACCTTTCTTATATGACCCTCCTTTTTACAATGATAACATCGAATACTAAATGTTTCATCACTATAAGACTTCTGTTGACTTTTCTTTTTCTTTTTGTCGAACTTACCATCCTTTCGCAAGAATTTTTCCTTAACGGCCAAACATTCGTCCACCGTCGAAGTTTTATGCTCCTTTCGTCCGTTCAAGTCCTTAGAATACAAGGTTGATTGAACTTCTTCAAAGGTCAGGGACTCCCTTCCATACAAGAGATTTTCTTTGAAGTGAGCATGTGTTATGGGCAAAGCACACAACAACAACAGTGCTTGATCTTCATCATCGATCTTCACATCAATATTTTCAAGATCAAGAATCAGCTTGTTGAGTATATCCAACTGCTCAGCCAACACTTTGTCTTCACTCATCTTGAATGAATATAAAGCTTGCTTCAGGTAGAGTCGATTCACCAAAGATTTGGTCATGTATAAACTTTCAAGTTTCACCCATAATCCTGATGTTGTAGTCTCCTTTGATACCTGTCGAAGAACCTTATCACCAAGGCTCAACAATATTGCGTTGTGGGCTTTTTCGATCATGCTCGTCTTTTCTTTTGCCGTTAACGCAACGTCCATGACTACCTCACCTTTCGACGCTTCCAAACAATCATGCTGAACCAATAGGGCTTTCATCTTCAAGCGCCACAGACCGAAGTCGCTCACTCCGGTGAACTTTTCAATCTCATACTTTGTTGAAGGCATCTTCTCCACACTCACCGCACCATTTTTTTGTGAGTCGGATACCTTAAAACTAAGTATAAACAGTTTCTTAATGATCAAGAAACACATAAGGGTTAGGGTTAATAAAGAAGAAAACAACAAGGATTGATTATTAAACTGTTATTATTTCCTTTCTCTTAGAACAATATTACAAGTATACAAGAATAACAAAATAACCTCTCTCTCTTGAAATTAGGATTTTATCTTTTGTAGTGAAGGCTGAAAATAGAAACTGGTTTTATTACTATGTGTGATTAAATTGACAGGGAAGCTAAGACATGGAACAAAGTTTTGAAAAGGCGGAGAAGATGGCAGGAATTGAAAGAGGAAGCATCAGAGCAACTGTTCTGATTGAAACACTTCCTGCAGTATTTCAAATGGATGAAATTCTGTATGAGCTCAGAGATCACTCTGCTGGTCTGAACTGTGGGCGTTGGGATTACATTTTCAGTTATGTTAAGACTTTAATGATCGGTTGCTACCCGATCGGGTCCAAGTTGGTATGACTCAACACTTCATGAAGAGCTACTCCGAACTTCTTATCAGGACATGTCATAGGCGCGGCATACACGCCATGGGAGGAATGGTATGTAATATGGATGCTACAGATATGGCTGACTGCGTGCAGTTACATCGTACACAAACCGAATCCTAAATAGAAATCTTATCAAATTAAGACGTATGTGTGTATAATGTTTCTTAATTCAATGTATTCAATAGGCTGCTCAAATTCCAATTAAAAACGATCCGGCGTCTAACGACGCAGCACTAGAATTAGTAAGAAAAGACAAACTTAGGGAAGTGAAGGCAGGTCATGATGGAACATGGGCTGCACACCCTGGCCAATTTCCGTCGTGTATGGAGATTTTCACCAAAAACATGGGAAATGCTCCTAATCAGATAGCAACAATGAAACGTGAGGACGCTGCAAAGTTAACCGAAGAAGACCTCTTGCAGATACCTAGAGGAGTTCGAACGATGGAAGGTCTACGGCTGAATACAAGTTTTGGAATTCAGTACGTGGCAGCATGGCTAACCGGGTCAGGTTCTGTGCCTCTTTACAATCTCATGGAAGATGCCGCGACTGCTGAGATTAGTAGGGTTCAAAATTGGCAGTGGCTTAAGTATGGAGTCGAACTTGATGGTGATGGACTCGGAGTGAAAGTGAGCAAAGAGCTTTTCAGTAGAGTTGTTGAAGAAGAGATGGTTAGGATTGAAAATGAGGTTGGTAAAGATAAGTTCAAGAAAGGAAAGTATAAGGATGCGTGCAAGATCTTCACTAGGCAATGCACTTCACCAACACTTGATGATTTTCTCACTCTTGATGCCTATGATTATATTGTCATAGTTCATCCAGTGGAAGTTTCAAAGCTTTGAAATTAGAATTTCTTCATACTTCATTGCGGTTGATGATATAGTTTATTGTTTTCAATTATGTATTGTGTTACATAAGTTGTCCCTTGTATTTTTCATTACTTCTTATGTTTATGTATAATCGAAAAGAATAAAGTTTGTTATTATAGCTATTTTGATTGATACAACTCTGATCTTCATCGATCTGATAATATACAAATAGCGAAAACTCTTGTGTACAAGATGGTTTTACTAAAATTTGATGAAAGATCTTAGTGTTTTCTAATTAATCAAGAAGTGCTTTTTCCACCTTTGGACTTTATTCTCTGTCTCTCTAGTCTTGCTTCAAGTAGTTTTGCCATCAATGTGTTCTCCTTTACTCCCTTTGGCAATTTGGTTGAAGACTCGGTTTTGCCAAAATCTGATGAAGCAATCAACTTCGATTTCCACAGTTTTATGTTGTCTTCTTTAATTTCGCTTGATTTCTTCTTCACCAAGCAACTCGTATTGTTATCGTTACGTGACATGCTCCTCTCAGTGATTTTCTTTGACATAACCTCTTTCCTAATTGAACTTTTTCTTCCTTTATTCTCTCGATGGAGCTCAGAAGCGTCGTCTCTTCGCGGTCCGGAGCCGAGTTTTCTGAGTCCTTCAACGGTGATGATCTCTTTCGGTTCAAACCAGTCACTACCAATGGAATTTTCCTGATCCATATTTTGAGGTCCACTTGCAGCATCTTGCGGTGGAAACAAATCCATAGGATGAATTTCCTTGAGCTTCTCCGGCGAGGAGTAACCGCATTTTCTAAAATCCACGCAACGTTTTGCATGAAGAAATGCTTCTATATCAAAACCTAACTTGTCAACAATCGAAAATCTCTCAACGACATCACTGCCAGATTGTGCTAGCTTCATTTGCGCGCGCTCGTCAAGCCAAGCTTCTGAAATATGAAGTACTAACCGATCAAGGCCATTCTCTTTAACTTCAACATATTCAGAATCGCGCCTAAGACAACGTACTTCTTGTTCATAACTTTTTATTCCCTTGGCAAACTCGCCGCACATATTCTCCAATAGAATCCGCGCTTTCCTCTCTCGCTCAAGGTTTCTCAAGCAACCAGAGAATGAAGACTTCACTTCAGAAACCTCCCTAGCTAACTTCCTACGCAAGCTATCAGCGTGCTTTCGCAACGTTCTCTCATCTTCAAGCTCTTCATGAATCGATTGTACAGCCGCTTTAATTCTATCGCGTTCTTTATTCTTTCTAACTAACTTTTCCATCGTCGTTTTCTTCATTAACTTCTCCATTTCTCGCGCGTTCATTTGCTTCTCCTGTACTAACTCCTTCATCCGTGTTCTAGATCGATCTAGTTCCGATTTCAAGGCTTTCACCGCAGATATATTCAATGCTTCATTCTCTTCAAGACTCCATATTCTGTTTAGCACATTAAGTAACTGCGCCGCAGTCTGATAAAAGCAAATAACATATGCATCATTTTGTAAAATCTCCAAAACAACTAACAAAGGTTAAACATAAAAGACAAGACATAAACTAAGATTAAACCTGGTCAGAGGAGTTGTTTTTGCGGCGGTGGCGGGGAGTGGTGCCACCATGTTGAATTTGCCAGAGATTGGCACAAAGCTTTCTAGCAGAAACGGTTGAAGTTGAAACAGCATTATTTTGTTGAGAAGGAGGTTCAAATCTCCATGTAGGCGATGGAGTAGTACATGTTCCTCCCTTTTTCCCTACCAAAACACCTTTCTTCCACCTTTCCACCATGACACTTCTCTTTTTGTTCCCTCTCTCTCTCTCTCTGTCTCTCTCTCTCTCACAAAACTCAATATTTAAATTTGAGACTTTACAAAGTTTTTTTTGAAGGTATGAACAAATGTGAGTTAGTTTTGCTAAGAGTTACTACTAAATTTATAGCAGTTACTTCTTTTCATAGCTGGGTCCACTCTCATTTTGTACTCATTAGAAAATATCCTATTTTTGTATATACTTTTGTCCCCCAATTGAAATTAGTTATTTTTATAAGATCTGATTCGAATTCAGCCCTGCACACACTAATATCTTAAGTCAAAAAGAACTATAATAAACTATAAAATTCTTTTAAAAAAAATTTAACATATCGCATACTTAACATTGACTGAATTCAAAATTTTTGATTAAATTAAAATAGACTTTTTAAAAAGAGTTGTCAAAAATGTCTCATTTTAAAAGAATTATTAGAAATGTCTATAGTTTTTCTTCGATTTATATTTGTGTAAAAAAGTTATTGATAAAAATAAAGGGAAACTCACATCACATTGTAATCTCATTATTACAAATATGGATAAACTCCTTATTTGTTTATTATTTTTTATGATTGCAAATATTTCATAAGTGTCTCTCCTTTCCATGGTTGTAAACAAGCATATAGATGTCATTAGACCAACAAGGAGCCGAAAGAGAAAGGGGAAAAGAAAAGCCAAAAGTTATGATATTCAATTTTGAATGTCATTTTGCTTTCTATCATGATAAGCTAATCTATCTACACCATAATGATCACAAGGTCTTGAATTGGTTCTAGAGTATGTTTTTTCATGCAAATATGACCCCAAAAAAAAAAATATGTTGAGTTGATATCCAACATACTAAACCGCTTAATCTGGTTCAAGAGTCAGTTTTAGACTCAAGCGGCTCCAATTTCTCCCCAATCACAATTGCGGGAAATCAAACTATAGTTTTCTCTATCAAATTCAGCGTCAATCACTACTGAACTAACTAACGATTGATAATAAAATTTTTATTTAAATATTGTTTAATCGTATCAAATATTTTATAAGAGTTTTATTTAAGATAAATTTTAAACTTTGTACAATAGTCTATTATGGACTTTCTCGATTACGACCATGCACCAATATTGATCTTAAATAATTAAGTTCCAAAGGTCCACAAATTGGACACACAACTTTTTAAATGGTCCAACGAGACTCTCATGATCATTAAGACATGAACAAAAAGGAACTTGTGGTCCATCTTATCCTATAATTTAATGCAAATATGCAATGGAGAATTTACTCCCTAGACAAGCAGTTCATTAACTTCTCAAGTTATTATTTTGATGATCATGAAAAGGCAATGCAAAAGAGTAGTATTGATAGAAGAGTTTTGTACCCTTGTGGGTAGACCTTGTACAACCTGATCCTAATTTAATGTCTTCCAATCAACATCCATGGCTATATATAACCTCGAAAGATGATTAATTGGACAACTTTATCCGATAGGGATATTGCATCAAGAGGACCATAGTTGTTGTCATTGGACCACTTTTTTATTTAGTAGAAAAATCGTATCCTTCTTGAATTGAATGTGGTCCAAAACCTTGCTGTTAACTGACATCAACAACATACCTATTTTTATACCCAACATAGGTAGCTATCAATGTATATAGTGGTAGAGATTAACAATTATATTTTATCATATGTAACTTACGGTCTCACTTAGAAAATCTAAAAATAGAAAGAGAACTTGGGTATCAAATGCATATATGATATTTTGATAGATTTAAATGTGTCGAATAGACATGTATTAATTCATAATAATAAGAATCATTCGTCTTGTAAGATTTAAGAGACGATTATTAAAAGAGTGAGAATGAGAGGATTAATACATTTATTATTGTTTAGAATTTTTAGAGCATGTTAATTGTCTAATATGGAGACACAAAACCTAATCAAACAACTATAAATCATAATATAATTAATTATGTCAATTTATAGTTAATTAATTAAATAATTAATCTAATAATCTTTCACCGACAATAATTAATTATTAAAAATATTAATTTTAATATTAAAATATCAATAATGGTCAAAACACTAATCAATCAAAAAACACTAGTGCATAAAAGACTTTTTACATCGGGTCAAAACACTAATCAATCAAAAAACACTAGTGCAAACAATGTAGTAAATCAAATATATTTTACATCGGGTCGTAGACCGATGTGAAAAATACATCTACTATATCGGTTGACAGTTAAGTCTGATGTGAAATATGAGTTTAATTTTTATTTTTTTTAAAAAAAACACCTTTTACATCGGTATATTTTTACATCAGTTGGCTACTAGAACTGATGTAAAATGTATGTTTACATCGATTGCATTTTTGACCCAATGTAAAATGTGTGCTACGTTTCTTAATAATGCATGTTTTTACATCGGTTGTCTTTTAGGCCCAATGTAAAATGTGTGATATCTTTCTTCAAAATGAATGTTTTAACATCGGTTAAGGTGCACCTGATGTAAAATGTAAGTTGTCTTTCTTAAAAAATTGGACTACTTTTTATCTTAATCGATGTGGAATCCTTGTAATTTTTTTTGGTACCTAATTTTTCATATTTTTCCAACATCACACATACCACATTTTAGTCACTATTTGGTATGTAATTTTTCATATTTTTTCAACCAACCTTTTAATTTCATTGCACCAAATAGCTAGGATGCACATATTCTTCAACATGAACAAATTGATTTACAAAAGTACTAATCTAGTATACACACAAGTGTACAAAATTATATGTATGTTTACACGGTGGACTAATAAAAGAACAAAACCAGTGAAAACATACAAAAATATCCAACTATTTATAAGTCATTTTCCACACTTGAATTACCAACATGCAATCCACAAGAAGATGAGTTGTAGCTAGCTTCGGTAGACAACACCAAAATCACATTTACTGACAATAAATAAAATACTAATAAACATCAGCAGACAATACCAGAGTCAAGAAACTCAAATTATATATATATATATATATATATATATATATATATATATATATATATATATATATATATATATATATATATATATATATATATATATATATATATATATATATATATATATATATATATATATATATATATATATATATATATATATATATATATATATATATATATATATATATATATATATATATATATATATATATATATATATATATATATATAAATTTACCATATAAAACTTAATTTTTATATAACTCAAAGAAACATTTTGCCCAACAGAGTCGCAAATCATACAAATCATCTTGTGTTAATTCTGTTGGGTCATCAAATACCTATAATATGTAAATAACAATATAAAGTTATTCTTTGAAAATTCACATTAAGTTGCAAAACGCAAAGTAAATAACAAAGTAAAGTTATTTTTATTACCTGCAACCAAGATTCGGTTATATTGGCAGAGACAATATCCAACATATTTTTCATAACATAGTACCCACAATCAATAAAGTTATGTTGTCTCCTTGTCTACAAATGAATGACAGAATTAGTGAATATTTATGATTACACCACGCTTACTTTGAGTTGGAGCCATGTAGCCTTTTTTTCTATTGCCATTTGCCATTTGATAAACCCCAAAAGCACTATGTCATACCCCAAATTTTACCCTTAGATCACTGAGCATTTTGCATTTCATTTTGTTCCGTATTTCATTTTTACTAACCGTTAACCGGTTTGCTTAGTTGTGCGTTTTGCAGGCGAGTCGAAAGTAGCCTCGTAAGTCCATCTAGTCAGGTTGAACCTACAAGGATATTAAGATCTTAAACGTGTACAAATTGCTCATCAACATCGTCTTAAGCCTCGATGCGAGGGTTCTCGTCTGGTTGTCAAGATTCAGAATTTCATATAAGCAGGATTCTAAGCTTCAATGGTTCATAGTGCGCGATTTAATGGTAAACTTGTGGATTTGGAGGATTGAGGTCCGAAATAAGATTGTCTTTTCTTTTGTTGAGTTCAAGTTGATGTGAATATTATTTTTAAAGAAATTCAAGATGCAAGCTACATAATGTATGTTTCCTCTGGTGATGACTGGGTTAGGATTGAATGATTGCGTCAGATTTATATTAAGGTGTTATCTGGTTTTAAGTAATTACGAGTTTTTCATGTGCTTCAGATGCGAATTGCAAATTCTAAAATTTGCTCGTAACGAGAGTTGGGTTGGAATTAAATTCGGAAGAATTAGGTTCACAGTTTATGCAAGAGAATTGGAATTCATATTTTTATTCAAGAATTGAATTTTTATACATTTTCAAGTCTAATTTCCATTACAAGAATACATGGTTACAACTTTTGGGATTCAGAGTATAAAAGTCCTAAAAGTTCTAGAGCCTATTTCTAAGACTTCAAGTTCTGTCTTCGAGTTCCGTACTTTGATCCGCAAACAACACCTGCAAGAACAATGAAAAACGTCAGATGAAATTTGGTTTTTTTTAACAAAAATGGATTTTCTATTTTAATTTTTGGACCCTAAAAAAAGATTCATCATCGGGTCTGGGAGGAGTAGTAAATTTGCTACCAAACCCCTCGTTTCACTTCCGACAATCAGGCCCAAGATTCGACAACATTCTGTTCTATACCGAAAAAAGGAGAGTAAAAGATTTTTTGGAAAATTGATTTTTTTAGTCCAAACAGGCTTTAAGAAAATCCAACCGACAGCGTCAACAAAAGTTCCGTAAAATCCAAATTCGGAATCACCAAAATACCACATTTGTTTCCAACATAACAAAACCAAATCCAAAAATTCAAAAATCCGAAAATAATCAAATCCATCACCATTAACAACAAAATCCAGCCACCATCAATGATAAACAGCTCATTCAATCAACTCGGATTATATCATCACCATAAAAAATAACGTTCCAAAAACGAGATTGAAAAATAAAATAAAATCATAATAGATCCGAAAATGGGAAGGAAAAGATTGAACCATATCAAATC